AATTGGGGGGAATTTTGGGGGGATGGGGAAAAATAAGGGGGAAAATGGGGGAAAATAATGGGGGAAATTATGGGGGAAACTGGGAAAAACTGGGGGGATTTGGGGGATTTTGGGAAAATTTGGGAAAAACGGGGAGAATAATGGGGGAATTTGGGGGAAATTATGGGGAAAATGGGGGAATAATGAGGCAAATAATGGGGAAAATTTGGGGGAATAAAGGGGGAAATAATGGGGGGAAATAATGGGAAAAAAGGGTGGAAAATGGGGAAAAATGGGGAAAATTTGGGGGAAATAATGGGGAAAAATGGGGTTGTAAGGGGGAAAATAATGGGGGGAAGTAATGGGGGGAAGAATGGGAAAAAAGGGTGGAAAATGGGGAAATAATGGGGAAATAATGGGGAAAATAATGGAAAAATAATGGGGGGAAATGGGGGAATAATGGAAAAATAATGGGGAAATGGGGGAATTATGGGAAAATAATGGGGAAAAGGGGAATAATGGGAAAATAATGGGGAAATAATGGGGGGAAATGGGAAAATGGGGGAATAATGGGAAAACAATGGAGAAATGGGGAAAAAATGGGAAAATAATGGGGAAATAATGGGGAAATAATGAGGAAATAATGGGGAAAATGGGGGAAAATCGAGGTGGAGGAAAGGGGATGGGGAAAAAAGTGGATGGAAAGAAAAAGGGGATGGGGAGAAAAAAATTGGATTGTGGGGGAAAAAGGAGGTGGGGAAAAGGGGGAAAAGGGGATGGGGAAAAAAAGAGAATTGGAAAAAAAAAGGGGATGGGAAAAAAAAGGGAATGAAAGGAAAAAGGGGAAAAAAGGCAAGAAGGGAAAAAGGGGACTGGGGAAAAAAGGAAATTGGGGGAAAAATTAGGGGAAAAAATTAAGAGAAAAAAGGGGAAAGAAACAAAAAAGGGGAAATAAATAAAAAAGGGGCTGGGGGAGAAGGAAAAAGGGACCCCGGGGTGGGGAGGGGTCCCAGCTCACCTGCAGGGGCCACCCTGAGGATCTCCCACTCCTTGGAGTCGTTGGGGTCGGGCACCCCCAGCTCCTCCTCGGGCTCCAGCCGCGACACGATGTTGGGCTTGGGGATGGGGAAATCTGCCCCAAAAGCACCAAAAAGCACCAAAAAACACCAAAAAAAGGGAAATTCAGGATGGATGGGGCTCCGTCCCAGCAGGATTTGCAGGTAAAACCGACGGGTTTCGTCCCCCTGGGTTTGATTTTTTGGGTTATTTTGGGGAGGGGGGTTTTGGAGGAGGATTTTGGGGGAGGATTTTGGGGGAGATTTTGGGGAGAGGTTGCAGGAGGATTTTGGATTTTGGGGGATTTCGTTCCGTTCTCCTCCTCCTCTTCTTCATCCCTACTCTGTTCTTCTCCTCTTCTTCATCCCTATTCTGTTCTCCTCTTCTTCATCCCTACTCCGTTCTCCTCCTCCTCCTCTTCATCCCTGTTCTGTTCTGCTCTTCTTCATCCTCATTTTGTTCTTCTCCTCTTCCTCTTCTTCATCTCCATTCTGTTCTTCTCCTCTTCTTCATCCCCATTCCGTCCTTCTCCTCCTCCTCCTCTTCATCCCTATTCTGTTCTCCTCTTCTTCATCCTCATTCCATTCTCCTCTTCCTCCTCTTCTTCATCCTCATTCTGTTCTCCTCTTCCTCCTCTTCTTCATCCCCATTCCGTTCTCCTCCTCCTCCTCTTCATCCCTGTTCTGTTCTCCTCCTCTACATCCTCTCTATTCCGTTCTCTTCCTCCTCTTCTTCATCCTTACTCCGTCCTTCTCCTCCTCCTCCTCTTCATCCCTATTCCATTATTTCTCTTCCTCTTCTTCATCCCTGCTCTGTTCTCCTCCTCCTCCTCTTCATCCCTGTTCAGTTCTGCTCTTCTTCATCCCCATTCCGTTCTTCTTCTCCTCCTCTTCTTCATCCCTCTTTCGTTCTCCTCCTCCTCCTCTTCTTCATCCCCATCCCGCTCTCCTCCTCCTCCTCTTCATCTCCATCTTCATCCCCTTCTTCTCCTCCTCTTCCTCCCCTTCTTCATCCCTATTCCATTCTTCTCCTCTTCTCCATCTCCTTCCTCATCCCGCTCTCCTCCTCTTCATCCTCATCCCACGCTCCTCCTCCTCCTCCTCTTCCTCCTCCTGTTCTCCATCCTCAGCCTCTCCTTCTCCTCCTCTTCCTCCCCTTCTTCATCCCCATTTTGCTCTCATCCTCCTCCTCATCCCCCTTTCTTTTCCTCCTCCTCCATCTCCATCCTCACCTCGTTCTCCTCCTCTTCCTCCCCTTCTTCATCCCTATCCCATTCTCCTCCTCCTCCTCCTATTCTCCATCTCCAACCTCCATCCTCAGCCCATTCTCTTCCTCCTCTTCTTCATCCCCATCCCTTTCTCCTCCTCCATCTCCATCCTCACCCCGCTCTTCCTCCTCCTGTCCTTCATCCCCACCCCCTCTCTCCTCCTCCTCCTGTCCGGACTGGGAGCACCGGGAAAGGCCCCGGCTGTGGCGCTGTGCGGGGCAGCAGGGGAGGGCCCGGGGCTGCCGGTGCCACGGGAACACGAGCGGCACCGGGGGCGCTCCACAAGCATTTACCGCGCAATAAACGAAAGAACGGGGGCGATAAAAACCTGCGAAATCCGCGCCGAGACCGCGGCCGCGCCATGACCGCGGCCGTGATGGGACGAGGCGGGGTCGCCCCTCAGCGCCGCCCTGGCCAATCAGCGCGCGGAAAACAATGAGTGACAGGGCATTCAGCCAATCAGAACGAGCGCTGGGCTTTGGGCGGGAAAATCAACCAATGGCAGCGAGGGGCGGGCTCTGCGCGGGGTATATAAGGGGTCTGTGAGGGGGGGCAGTAACGCCTCAAGATGGCGAGGGGAAGGAATGGGCTTGGAATGTCCGAGAATGTTCCAGAATGTTCTGGAGGCCAAGAAATGGCTGTGGGTGAGTTGGGGATGGAGCAGGGACGCCCCCGCAGGACCCTGAGAGCGGCACGGAGCTGTTTGAGTGGCTCCAGGTGGGACCCCCGGCCTGTTCCTGAGGGGTTCCGTGCCTGTGGTTTACAAGATTTCAGCATTTCCTCCTAAAATTCCTCCCCCTGGAAAAGGCACGGGGCGTTCCCACCTGGATGGGAGTTAATTTAATCACGTTTGGGCACTTGGTGGTGTCACCAAATCCTGCCGTTGGTTCCTTTGGGGCTGTTCTGCCTTCACCATATGCCCCCCCAAAAAGCCAAATTTAAGCCCAAAAGGGAGTTTTTAAAATTCCTGAATTTTGGGATGAGATTCAGACGGACGTGGCAGCGAAACAAACCTGGGATTGTGGGGAGAATCCCCCGTTTTTCACCTTTTATTCTGGAAAACCCCTGCCCCACGTCCGCCTCTTGAACCCCGCCAGCGCCAAGCCCACCCCCAAAAACAAAAAGCCAAAATTTCCCCAAATTTAGAGAGATTTTTAAACCAATGTCAGGATGCAAATGGCAGTGATGCAAACGGGGCGGGGGCGGGGTGGTGGAACTCTCACGTTCCTCACCTTTTATTCTGCAAAACCCCCCAAAAAAAGGGGGGAAATCCCCCCAAAATCCCACCCTCAGCTCCAGGAGGGGTCGTAGCCCGTCCAGTCCGAGGGGGGGGCCAGAAAGACGCGGCGGCCCCGGCACACGAAGCTGACGACGCCGCGGTAGCCGGCGCGGGGGACGCCGGATTTGAGGTCGTCCATCAAGCCCAACGCTTTGGCCAAAGCCTTGAAGGAATCCCTGCCCCGGTACTGGAGCCTGACCGCCCCCAAATCCCTCCCCGAATCCTTCTGCAGCTCCTCCAGGTGGATCTCGGGCGCGGAGTAAACCTGCTGCAGGAAGAATCGCTCGTACTCGTCCTTTTTGAGGTAAGAAAGGTCCATTTGGGTGAAAGGCACGAAGCGGTCGTTGAGTTTGATGAACTTTAAGTACTGGTCGTAGAACTGCCCGTGGCTCACGCCCTTGCGGCCGAAGGTCATCGTCCTGGACACCTCGGGCCGGACGCACGCCCGGCCGCGCCGCTGCTCGGGCTGCCGCATCCAATCATCCCAAAACGCCGGCGGCCATTTGGGCTCCAGCTCATCCCAGAGCTCGGCCAGCAGCAGCCAGCCCAAACCGGGGAAGAAGTCGGTGCGGTAGAGCAGCTCGGCCCTGCCGGCGTCCACCAAGCCCTCCTTGCCGTTGTCGTTCCACGCCGAGGCGCACCACAGGCTGCGGTCCTCCTGCAGCAGCGGCAGCACCGCCTGGAAGTACTCGAAGAAATCCGGCGCCACCTCCAAGTCGTCCTCCACCACGATGGCGGCGCGGTAGCGGAAGGTGCGGAACACCTGCCCCAGCGCCCAGCGGTAGTGCCGCGAGATCTTGTAGTAGCCCTGGAACTTGCGGTGCTCCGGCGGCACCGGCACGTCGCTGAGGTCGGGCTGCCGGATGTGCGCCACGGCCGCGCCGTACGAGGCGATGACGGCGGCAGTCTCGGCGTGGCCGCAGTCCTGCGAGACGATCACCGGGAAGCGCCGCGCGCTGGGCCGGTAGCGCAGGATTTTATCCAGGCAGCGCCGCACCGAGCTGCGGTCGCAGGCCAGCACCAGCACCGGCAGCACCGGCGGCTCCCCGGCGCCGGTGGTGGGGATTTGAGCCGGTTTCTCGGGCGGTTTTGGCGTCTTTTGGGCGGGTTTCGGCGTCCTGTGGCGCTGCAGCCGGCCGAGCTGCTGGATCTGCAGCAGCAGGTCGCGCTGCAGGCGCAGCTCGGCCTCGGCGTCCTGCGCCAGCTGCAGCAGCTGCGCCGGCAGCAGGCGCGAATCGGGGCCGAACTGCGGGTGCTGGGGGCTCGGCAGGCTCCCGGGGCGGCTCCAGAGGAAGAGGAGCAGCAGCCCGTTCCAGGCGAGGAAGAGCGCGGCACCCAGCAGAGCCAGGCTGCTCTTCTTGAGCATCCTTCACATGGGGCTGGGGAAAAGGAGGAAATTCGGGGTTAAAAATGGGGAAAAAAGAGAAATTTGGGGTTAGAAATGGGAGATAATGAGCAATTCTGGCAATTTGGAGGAGAAAAAGTAAAAAATCTCAATTTTTGGGTCAGCAGAGCCCAAACTGCTCTTCTTGAGCATCCTTCACATGGGGCTGGGGGAAAAGGAGGCAAAAAAAGAAAATTTGGGTTAAAAACGGAGTTAGAAAAGGGGGAAACCAGAAATTCAGGGTTAAAAATGGAGAAAAAAAAGGGGAATTTGGGGTCAGAAATGAGGTTCGAAATGGAGGAAATGGGCAATTCCCAAGTTTCAGGTGTGGCAAAGTCACAGTTCCTAAATTAGAGGCACAAAATGGCAAAATTTATGAATTTTAAGTGAGGAAAAGTGAAAATTATTAAATTTTCAAGCACAAAAAAAGTAAAAAAAATCCCAATTTTCAGGCACAAAAAAACCAACCAAAATTCCCAATTTTTGGGTCAGCAGAGCCCAAACTGCTCTTCTTGAGCATCCTTCACATGGGGCTGGGGGAAAAGGAGGAAATTTGGGGTTAAAAATGGGGAAAAAGAGAAATTTGGGGTTAGAAATGGGGAAAAAAGGAGCAATTCCAGGAATTTGGAGGAGAAAAAGCCAAAATTCCCAATTTTCAGGCATGGAAAAGTCAAAAATTCCTAAATTAGGAGCACAAAAAAGCCAAAATTCCCAATTTTCAGTCATCTAAAATTCACTATTTCTAAATTAGAGGCACAAAAAAAGCCAAAATTCCCAAATTTCAGGCCCCAAAATTCCCTTTTTATGCCCCCAAAATTCTTCCTCAAAAGAAGAATTGAAACTTTGTGATTCAAATAAATAAAAATTCATAATAATACCCAAAAAATCCCCCAAAAATTAATTTAGAAAAAGGGGAAAAAGTGGGGGAAAAGCAAATTAAATCCTGCTAAAAAAAAATCCCTAAAATTAAAAATAAATCTCATTAAAATGCCCCAAAATTGCTTTAAAAATGAGAAAAAAAAATGAAATTTGAGGTTCCCACCCCAAATTTCACTGAGGGTGAAAGAATTCCTAAAAATTCCTGAAAATTCTTTTTAAAAAGAGGCAAAACTCTTAAAAAAAGGAGGAAAAAATCAAATTGAGCCCTCACCAATCCAAGGGCAGAGTCCAATCCTGTTAAAAATTAATTTAAAATCCTGTTTAAACGTTAATTTTTAATTAACTTAAATGTTAAAAATTAATTTCAGTGTTAAATTTGAATTTTAAATCCTGTTAAACGTTAGCTTGCACTTAATTTTAATATTAAAATTTAATGTAAATTGAATTTTCATGTGAAAATGTAATTTTAAATGCTGTTAAATATTGATTTAAAATTATTTTTACCATGAAAATTCAATTTAAAATCCCGTGAATTCCAATTTCTTTCCTGTTTTCCCCCATTTTTCCCCCAAAATTCCAATTTTTTCCCCATTTCCCCCCCTAAATTCCAGGTTTTTTCCCAAAAATTCAAATTTCTCCCCATTTTTTCCCCGGTTTTTTCCCAAAATTCCAATTTTTTTCCCCATTTCCCCCCCTAAATTCCAGGGTTTTTTTCCCCAAAATTCCAATTTTTTCCCCATTTTCCCTCATTTTCTCCACAATTTTTTCCTTTTTTTTCTCCAAAACTCCAATTTTTTCCCCATTTTTTCCTACTTCTTCCCATTTTTATCCCAAATTTCCAATTTTTTGATATTTTTTCCAATTTTTCCCTCATTTTTTCACCAAAATTTCCCATTTTTCCCCCACTTTTTCACATTTTTTCCCAAAAATCCAATTTTTTCCCCATTTTTCCATCATTCTTTCCCCTTTTTTCTCCAAAAATCCAATTTTTTCCCCTTTTTTCCCCAATTTTTTTCCCCTTCCATAAATTTCTATTTTTTCCCCATTTTCCCATCATTTTTCCCTTTTTTTTTACCAAAAATCCAATTTTTTCACCAAAATTTCCCATTTTCCCCCAATTTTTCACATTTTTTCCCAAAATTCCACTTTTTCCCCCCATTTTTCCTTCCATAAATTTCCATTTTTTCCCCATTTTCCCATAATTTTTCCCTTTTTTTTGCCAAAAATCCAATTTTTTCCCCAAAATTTCCCATTTTCCCCCAATTTTTCACATTTTTTCCCAAAATTCCACTTTTTCCCCCCATTTTTCCACCTTTCTTTCCCCAAAAATCCAATTTTTTTCCCCATTTTTCCCCAATTTTTTCCCTTTTCTTCCATAAATTACCAATTTCCCCCCATTTTTTTACCATTTTTTCCCTTTTTTTTACCAAAAATCCAATTTTTCCCCCAAAATTTCCCATTTTCCCCACTTTTTGCTAGTTTTTTCCCCAAAATTCTCATTTTTTCCCCATTTTTGGGCAGCACTGACCTGTGCAGAGTGGGGGAGGGGGCGCTGGGGTTCCCCCTCCCCCCTCGGGAATTTGGGGGGAAAATTCGGGAATTTGGAGCTCCTGGAGGGGGGAGGGGCCGCAGAGATCCTGGAAAAAAAAAAAAGGGAAAAAAAATGAAAATTCCCAAATTTTGGGAGGGGGGGAGGGGTCAGAGGGGAAGAAGAAAAAACCCCAAAAAATCCTAAAAAATCCCAAAAAATCCCCAAAAAATCCTTTAAAAAATCCCAAAAAATCCCCAAAAAATCCTTTTCCCAAAATTCCCCGAATTCGCCCCAAAATCCGCGCCCTGCCCCCCCCGTACCGGCGGCGCCTTCCCGGCGACGCCGCCACTTCCGGTTGGCCGCACCGGAAGTGTCGCCATGGCAACGGCGAGGCCACGCCCACTAAGCCCGCGGTTTCTCCAATCAGAGCGCGCCAAGACGGCTAAATTATGCAAATGAAGCAGCGTGGCCACGCCTTTCAGCAGGAAACCACGCCTCCTCCGTAGGCCACGCCCCTTTTGTACAAATTTTAGCCACGTCGTCTCTTTAAGGTGTTTAAGCCACGCCCTTTTCTTTTAAACCACGCCCCCTCTTCAAACCACGCCTCTCCCCTTCAGCCACGCCTTCCCCGCGTAATTAACTCGGTTATTAATTAATTAGGGGTTAATTAAGCGCTCCCCGGAGATCGCTGAGGGCGGCTTCCGGTTGGCGGTGGGAGCGGAAGTGACGTCAGGGAAGGGGCGGGGCTTGCGGAGTTTCCCGCGCGCGCTGAGGCGGCTCCGAGAGGAGGTGGGGGAGGGGCGGATTTGGGGAATTTTGGGGGAAATTTGG